TCGGGTGACGGAGCAGGAAGGGAATGGCATCGTCACGAACTCTATACATAGCCTCATATCTGCGGGAGATAGCTTGTGGTTGGGCCGGTTGGTCCCAGGGCTGGACCATAGCCTGGCGCAGTGTAGTTATAAGCGGCAGAGCTATGGATGAGGACTGCTCTCCCCGAACGACATCATAAAACCGATCTGTGGAGGGGCCTGGCTGTTGATGAGCTTCGATTTCAAGCGAACAAACTAAGCGGGACATGAGCTCTGTGAAAGAGACATGCAGTTTGTCGGGTGAAGCAAGCCCTTGGTATGCGACAGCCACATCAGGGGATGTGGAGTCGACCTCCGAATCCTCGGAGTCTTCCACGTAACGCAGCCGGTTTTTGCTTGAGGAGGAGGTTTCAGAGGAGGTTGGGCGCCTCGTCTCCGTACGCCTGGAGGTGGATGGTACGTCCCTTGGGACCGATGGTGATCTATGATCCTGAGGAAAATAGGGATATGGTTGGTAACCACCCCAGCCGGGGGGAGCACCATATCCTGGGATCAACCAACTCTCATCTCGATGTTCGGATGAAAGGCTGCGACATCTGGGAGGTAATGGTGAGGCCACATGAGGTTCAGTCGGTGGCATAGGTGTTAGCAAGCGGTCCCTCAACAGGGAGTCTCTTCGGGAGTCTCTCACCATCAGAGATGGACTCCCGAAGTGGTTCCTCCTGTTGCTGGGGATGCACGCTCTCAGGCCGAGTGGTTGGCCTGGGGGATCCCGGTGGAATCACCTGCATAACAAGTTGCAGGGCGGTCCCAAGGGGGGTCGGTACCATGGTGGCCGTCGGTACCGAAAAGCCCGATGAACCTGAGCCCCGGTGTTTTGGGCAGTCAGGTTTCTCGCTCTTGCGAGTGGGCTTATCCACCTTCTCCTTCCTCAACTTCTTATGGGTGGAAGGTTTATCCAGACCGGTATGCTTGTGCTTCTCCTGTTTCTTAGCTGGGGGAGAAGGCAGTGACTGAGCCTCCATAGAAGCGGCGCCTTCATCCGAAGGACGCTGTGGAGGATAGGCAGAAGTCGAGGAAGGACGCTTCTCCGGAGCACTCATGGTGGAGGAAGAGCACTGAGGAGGTGCGAACGAAGAGGAACCAGGCCGTAGGAGCAGTTGGTCAGACTGCATTAATGCCTGATCCCATAGGAGCTTCCTGAGATGATTCTCCGTTTTTCCATGCCTGCTTGGTAAACGCCAAGCAATGACCACATTTGTCGGTCCTATGCCCCTCGCCGAGGCAGAGGAGGCATAGATCATGTGGATCAACTGGCGACATTTTAGATCCACATTCAATACATTTGCGGAATGCCGCCCGATGTGCCTTCGCGGAAAAATGAAGAAAAGAGGACAGTATAGAGGGTAAGATAATATTTTTGTTTGTTTGTTTGTTTGCTTTTTTATATATAGAGAGAAGAGAATTTAAGAAGAAAATGGACGGAATTGGGAAGAAGAACAAACTTGGAGCAAGAGGAGTTTAAGGTTTTTGAGAAAAAAACAACGAAGAGGCACAGATCTATAGCGAGAGACAAATAGGCATGAGGCACAGCGAACAGCAGTCGCAAAGACTGAGGAAAATGGCGGACACTCCGCTCTATTTATACCACGAAGGGGGAGGGGAGCAGAGTTTTCCCGCCAAAAACCGTTAGCTTTCTAATCTTCCAGCCTAGGCACTGCGCAGGCGCAGCAACCCATATGTGTGATGCACAGAGGCCACGAAGAAGAAGCTATATGTAGCAGAGTATGTGTGTGTATGTGGGGTGGAAGGGGGCTGGAAGCACAGCTGATCCTACAGCAGAAAATCCTGCATCTGTGGGTATTGCACGCAGGTGTAGACATTTATTTATGTACTGTACTTTTAAATTGCCCAGTAACCAACGTTCTTTGGGAAATGTATCACACATTTAAAATATAAAAGTCAGACATTAAAAGGAACAAAACAAAAAACCCTAACACAGAATAAAACTAAGGGAAAGATGACAGTAAAGAATATAAAATGTTTAAAGTTGTAAAGGCAGTCCTTAAGATGCCTGGGAGAATAAACGGTTCTTCACTCAGCGCTGGAAAGACACCAATGCTGGTATCAGAAGAGCCTCTGTGGGGAAAGGGTTTCACAAATGGGGCACCAGACCCCCACAGAAAAGGCCCCTCACTGGTAGCCATCAACTCACTTCTTTTGGTAGGAGCAAAGGGTCTCCTGAGGGCCTCCAAGGATGCTTTAAGGTAGATATTTGTGAAATGCTTTCCCCACTGCCACAAAACATTTCTGGTTTGCCCAAAATATATAAGCATGTGCTTCAGGAGAGATCGAAATATAAGCCCACCAGGACTTTTTCTCTTGCTCCACATCTAGGCTTCTCCAAGCTCCAGCTCCACCTAACAATGCAGCATACTGCCCTGACAGTATTTTTCCTCCTTTCTTTCCCCCACCCACGGAAAACAAATTTACATTATGAGTAATGCATAATGCAAACAAACAAAGGGCCAGTTTTTCATGTTACTCATTTCCTAACAAAAATAAAAAAATATGAAGAAGATATATGGGTAAAGACGGGGCAAATTAGAGCTGTGACATCAACAGCTTTGTCTTCTGACAAAGAATGGGTGAAGACTATCAGCACCAAAAACAGAGACATAAGAGACTTTTGCAAGGTTCAATAGGTAAGTGGGATTGGGTTGGAGCTGTTGTCAAGAGAACAATTCATATATTCATTAGTCAATAGGGTGGGTGTTTATGAAGGTGTTTCATAGCATCTGGAAAGTGGGCTACTAGACTGCTTTAGAAAGACAGTAAAAATGCCTATCCTATTTCCAGAGTTAAGTTGCAAAGATGCAGCACACGTAGCAAGGTTACTCTCATTACAAAGCACCTTCCATATGCTCTTCAAAGCATATTTGAATCTTCAATGTAGGTGGAAGAAGCACATTTCCCCCCTATCGGTTGCCAAGCTTGAGATGTTAATACATTGCTGATAATTGTTGTCACTTAATCTGTTTTAAAAGTGCACAATATATAGTCGGACGGGTGACAGATGAGACGTCTTGAATACAGAGTCATCTATTCTTGCTGACATTTCGGCTTGTCACCAAAGTGACCTTGCCTGAGGCTCAGACTAGATCTGAAATACAGTTGAGTGCATCTTCCCCCTAAGGGATTGTGTTAGTTTTGTTTAATCAAAAGCAGTCCTGGAGGCTGTGAATTTAAGCAGTGGGAAAAGATGGGGAGGGACAGCTAACCATTTTTCCATCTCCCTCACTCGGACCTTATTTCACCCATGAGAAGAAAAATATGGGCACATACTACTCTGCACAAAAGAAATTTGCAGCTCAATGTCAGACATCAAATTGTTCTGGTATAACTGATACCCCATTAAAAGCAGTCATGCATACTTCTATCGAACTTGGGATTCTTTCTATAACTGGCTGGAGAAACGGGACTTGGCGTAAACTTAGAGATGTTTTCAAATTATTATAAATTGATTTGAATTTGACTTTAGAATGTTAAAAAATATGTAGTAGGGGGTTGACCCAGTAAATCTGATGTATGTGATGTTTGATGTTTTTAGTGTTAGTTTAACATTTTAATAATTTTTTTTAAAAGCAGTCATGCATATAGACCCTCTACTGCAGGTTTCTGAGCTGAATACACAAGATAAATCCTTTGTTTAAGTGAACCCATGACTGTCACAGGAAACTCAAGTGAGCAGGACAGGGGCAGATGGGGCGAGATAAAGGGACAAGAGTCATCCTAAGCATGGTAAGTTTCCCCCTACCTACCTCAACTGCTGGATCCTTTTGGTTATTTGAAGAAAAGGCTCTTCTCACATGCAAAGCAATCATAAACTAATATATATATAATTCTGCAATCCTAAGCATGTTTACTTGAAACCCAATTCCATCAAAAAACAGCATGATACATTTCAAAGAAAGTGTTTAGGATGGGAGTGTTAATGAGGAATGTATCATTATTTCTTTTTCTGAAATCTAAACCCAGGGACAAAACTTGGTTCCCTGGTTCTGAAACAGACATTGCCCCATTCCACCCTGTACTTCTCCTGAATGATGGCAATGAATACAAATGTCCTGCTTCATTCCAAGATTATAAATTGGTAATAGGTCGTGACTCTACATGCACTTCTGGGGAATAAATCTCATTGGTATCAAGTCAACATGCATTTATTCATGGTATGAATGATATAGATTTGTATTCTGGGAAACGCATGTAATACTTGTCAGGGGAAATAGGGAAGAGATAGAGTCAGACATCTTAGCTAGTAAAGGATGGGCAAGGAAATGGTCTTCAGTCACACAGATAAGGCCAATTCTACCCTATAATGAGTGATAATTAAATAGAAGAAATGATACATGATGCTGGCAAAATACACTCAACAGCAATATATGTGGAGATCAGTACAACCAAAGTGTGGCTTGCACATTGCAAGTAGCAGACAATTAAACTACCTTAGAAGAAAATTCTCAGGTACCACTTGAGTACCAAGAAAAACATGGCACCAAAGCCCAACTCCTAGGTTAACCTTTGTGGCATGATAGCAGCCAGAAGTGAAAGACCATGGATGCTATTCTGTAAAGGAAGCTGTTTCTGTTATTTGATTTCCTATGAAATTCTACCTGTCATAACCAGGCTACGGGGTCTGTTCTGTTCATTTAACTGCTGTTTAAGGTATGAACACACACACACACATCTAACAAGTATGAATGAGTTTCAGCCGCACTGGATTCTCTAGCATTGCTTCACTGGTTTGGAATCTCAAGTTGTCCAGTATTAAGCCTAAGTGCTGTTTAAAACAGTGATCAGGATGAATCATCCTGGATATCATTTTCCAATCAAATGCTATGCTTTGTGCAACACTGATTGCTTTTCAGCTTCAGTTGTGTATCTTGCAGGCTTCAGAGCTAACTGCTCAGGCTCAAGCTATTGGGAGATATGAAGAAGAATTATACTGTGTAGTTACTTACCTCTTTAATGTGTAGAAAATCCTTAGCATCAAAAGAGATGGCAGTGCTTGGTACAGGAACATCTTCATCCAGTGCCCCACAGTAACTGACGTTCGTCTTCACAGCAAATGCGACTGGTTTTGACTGGGAGCAGAAATACATCTCTGTTATACAGGAGCAGGCATGGGTCGTAACCAGTCATATAAAGCAGAAGGAAACAAGGGAAAGGGGACAACTTGATGGCAAGTAATCACAATGCAGAGGTCCCCATCCTTCTTGTGTGTCAGAAGTGGCACTCTTTTTCAGCCCAAGGTCTGAATTGTATGTCAGAGGACGACTCCAGGGCCACATTCCAATGGTGTGCAGAGCCAATGATACAAGGGGTGGTGTCAACATTACCAGCAACTTTTAGCCTCAAGCTTCTACTGCCCATGATTAAGCCTTAGGAGAGGCATTTCAACCTTTTAGAATGGACCCCTCCACCAACACAAAAGATGAGGAACTACCAAATGATTGATGGTCAGGGGTAGGGGTTGTGACTTTCTCAGCAGCCCAAGAAGAGCTGGATTGAGACCCAGGGCCTGACAGTGTGCATTCCAGTTCTGGGTGATGCTAGTTCAGCACCCAAAGTCCACATTCGGAAAATACCAACACCACATTCTTACATCAAATTAGCAAAGTTTTATCCTAATCATTGAGTAAGTGGTTAGTATACCACAGTCCTTATATAAAATTAGCACAATATTAGCCTAACTCAAAGAAGCTAAGTTGGCCATTGTACCCCACAATACACAATACTTCAGAGAAACACTAGAAAGCTAGCACATGGGCTTAGTAAAGACAGGATACTTTTGAAGGCTCCTGCCGCTTCCCTACATTTTCTCTTAGGACTTGCCCAGAGTTCTGTCACCTAAATGCTCAACACACAACCACATGTGTGAACCAACTCAACAGAAATGCAGTGTGTTCTGATGGTCTTACAGAAACCTGTGAGAACCACCACTGCTCCCAAATTCTAATTTGTCAGAGCTACTTTAGTGTTACTTAAGTGAGTAGAAGGCATTTGCCTCTTACCCTGAACCTAGTGAAATATATGCCACTGTTTTTAAAACAAGTCATTAAATTCCAGGGAACACACTGGATACCAAGATCCATGACAAGAGTTCTACTCACAGAATGCAGTGTTCTTGCAAACTGAATGTGCTGGAGGTGACTCCCCATCCCTCTGTCAAAAATCTCAACAAGACGGAAAGGCCTTCTACACACAGGAGGAAACCTTCTCTTCATGGAAGGGATGTGGCAGGAAATGAAATTTATGAATATCACTTCCCACTCCTTCCTTTGTGCAACACTTCACTTGTTCTAAGCTCCCTCAATCAATGGAAGGGCTCCTTCCATACACATAAGGGCTCTTCTAGATCCAACCAAATATGTTTAAGGGTCAGGTGTAAGCCTTATCAATGACTTACCTAACACAGTTTTCTCTAGTATATGAACCACAACAAGTGGCATCACTCACTTTGGTATGCTCCTCCATCTAACGTTTAGCAGCCCAGAAGGAAGAATCTTTGGGAGCTTTTTGTCCCAAAAGCTACAATTATAACTATTTTCTATCAATTTACGGGGGTGTTTTCTTGAACGGATTTGTGTTAATGACCATGCCTCAATGAGGGACCCAGACTCTGACAAACCCACCTACCATGTGCCATAGGCACGGCCTAAAAAGGGCTGGGGAACTTGTGGCCCAGCAGCTGTCATGGACTCACTACCACTCTGAGGTTGTCTCTGTGCTGTTTTTAGAAGTAATAATGTAAGTTTCTGTTTTAGGACCACTACAGCAAGCAATCTCCCTCAGCAATCCTTATTGCAGCAGCAGGCAATGGATGACTCTCCAGACTTTTGTTCTGCAATTCCCATCATCCCTGACCATTGGCCATGATGGCTAGGCTGACATGACCTGGAGTCCAATAGCAACTGGAAGGTGGCTGGCTCACCACCTCTGCTTTCAAACCTGGCACTAGGAAGATCTTTCAAGTTCTCTATTCCCAGGATCCACACCTTACACAGCTGATTGGAAAGAACAGTTCTTAGAAAATTCAACAGGTAAAGCATGTACTTTTCCACATATATACCCTATCATTCAGCCTGCTGTGCATGTACAGGATTTCCCTATTGCATGCACATGACTATTTCATGTAGGGTATTATAGATCGTTGACTGAAAAGGGGTGGCTGTATTCCCCACAGAGTGGGGAACCAGCCCATCTGGGTTGCCTGGCACTACATAGTGCTAGTCTCCAACAAAGCACAAAGCTGTATCATTTTTTCTAATCTCTGAAGTCCTTCTTAAAACAAGCTGATGGCAGTGATTTATATAATATGCCACATAGCAACGAGGTTACTCTTAAATGTATTTTACATTCTAGTACTGACATCCTACTGGTAGAAAATGTCACATTCAAAACATTCCACAAATGTTCTTGCCACTCAATATCATATCTCTCAAAATCCCTACAAAGTGGTGTTTTTTCCTCCATGTCCCAATGCTGAAAATGAAAATATTTTCCATGAATTGCTGTGTTTCCTAAGGGCACACAAAGATGTACTTACGTTACTGAGCTCCTCTGTGGGACCACAGTCACCCACAATGGTCAGCTGCAAACTTTGAAACTTAATCAGGAAGTGCAGCCAGTAGATCCCATTTCCAGGAGAATCTGGCTGTGCACAGATTGGCTGGCCTATGTTTTAAGTTACAAAGCCATCTTCCTGCTGGCTGTGCAGAGTGCTGATTGAAGAGTCCTTATGAGAACAAAAAACCCACTGTCCCCTCTTCTCTACCAAAAGCAATATTTCAAGTGGCTTTTGTTTCTGTTCTTTTAAACAGCTTGTTTCAGTTTGTTTGTTTGCATATATTTTTATCATTTAACTTTATAAAATTGTTAGATACCAGAAGACAAAAGGATGAAAAAATGCAAAATATGAGGACTAGCAGGGGAAAAATCTGTGCAAGACTTCAAGCCTTACACATGTTTGCCTGGCAGCAGATTAATCCAGAGAAGGGCATATTTCAGACTCACGGGATCTACTTTATACTATAACCCTGAAACTCAGCCATTGGCGCCTATGGCAAAATAAAATAAAATCAAAATCAATTTTAAAAAATCAGAATTAATGAATTCTGAGCCACAGAATTTGCTTACTCCAATAGGACTTTATGCAGCCCACAATCCTTGTGCACAAAATTTCACTCCTAGTTATTCCAAACTTTCATTATTTCAGCAGTTATAATTTAGGATGGCAGAGAGCGGGGAGTTGATTTGTTGCTGCTTTGGGAAGTCAGAAATCCTTGCTGATCTACAAATCAGTCAAGATATCCACCATTATGATACAGCTATGTTCTGTCGACTTCTGGGTTAAGCATTACTGGCCCCTAGAGATACTTTTTCAGTCCTGAATCCAAGTGCCTGTCAAAATGACCAAGAAACTGACATTGGTCTGGAACACAGAATGAGTTAAGAGTGAGCCCACCATTCACTGAAGACATTTCTGAACCTAGCTGTTACCCTCCTGTGTTTGCTGCACTTGCTAACTTTCATCACCAAGGAAGCAAACTCTTAAATCACGCAAAAATTAATTTTTAGTCATTAGAGCCACCATACCAATAACATATTGGTTTCGCCTGATGTTCTTTTTTTAGTTTCATTTACAGTCTAAATGGAGAAAAAGGCAAGTGTATAGGTGTGAGGTATGTTTTGACAAATTGTTTTTTTTCCCTTTAAAAATTCTTAACACATTTTGGCATCTGGCATCTTCCTTAGGGGGAGAGCACAGATGTTAGCAATGTGAATTTGAAAAACAGCTTGTCAAAAATAAAAATCTTGAATCACTGCATTTTTTTCATTTCCCCCCTACTGTCCTCTGGTTGCAGTTAATTTAAAATAGGCTCTATCATTGAGGGGAGGGGAAAACTGATATGCAAATTGCAAACATATATTTCAGTTTTCTTTTGTTTGTAAAATAATGCTTCAACTTCCCCCACATTTCTACGTGCCAGAAACTCTCTGTAAAAGAGTAACTACTTGTGCTAGGCTATTGCAAATTAGAAGGTAGAGGCAGAGCAAAATTAACCCCTCATCACGAAAACAAAACAAAACAAAACAAAACAACCCTGGAGTAATCTTTGGAAGGTAGATGAATTCTACTAATTTTTGCAGGAATATATGTCTTACTTTTGATTATACAGTAACTATGAGGGTTTGCCTTTCTTTTTTATGTTAAAAAGTTTCTTGTCACTATTTCCTACAGTCCATTCATATTAATGGGACAGAATGCCCCATGTCATGATGTTGCTTTCTGGGACAGTCACTCCCAGGAGCAGAAAAAATGGCTAGCCCCTTCTGGAACAAGTATGTATGCACACGTATATAAATACATGTTTGGTAAATACAAGGAAACTTCTGACTAAAAGGGGTAATGATTAGTTCAGTGTTCCAAATCACAGTTTTCCCCAAGAAATGGACAAACCTGCAATTGGCTACCCCACCCCATTAGCATCTCCTTTCTAAGAGGGAGGAAGAAAGGTGAGGAAAAGACCTTTGCTCTTTCAAGCTGAATAGCTGCTTGCTGTTCTCTTTCCTGGCGGATTGCTTCCCTGTCCTCTTCCAGAGAGACATCAGAATCCGATGGTCTACTTGTGTATGAATCTGCTGATCCCTAGAAAGAAAAGGGCATTATTAACAAAAAGGATGCATAGAGCACTGAAAGAAGCCAAATACGCAGAAAAATTACCCAAGGTCATGGATTTATTTTTAACCACATTTCATCATTATGTTTTATTTATTATTTCAACCAAGATGCATGTGTGCGGGTTCCTCCCTCCATGCCTCCCTACTTTTAGGGCTTTTAAAGATTGTTTTAGAGAAACATGGATTTTTTCCCAGATAATGATTATCTTGTTGTGTTGTGCCTTTTATGCATGCATCACAAAATTAGCAGCATTAAATATAGCCTGGCAACCTATTACAAGATTAAAATCTTGTTAGAATAAAGTTCATTCGGCTATCAAAATGTTACATAATGTCAGATTTAACCAAAGCATAACCTAGCTGAGTAAAAATCACTTGTCTCAAGAAATTACATTGTTTGTATACACATTGTTTCACATGTTGTACAATCCTAGCCATGCTTATTCCTCCTAGTAGGTGCACTTAGAATTGTATTCTCCCAGCAAGAACAGGAAAGGCACCCAATATCTAGCCTGCATTCACATTTGTGTATATTAGTTTAAAAAGGAAGAATTTATATATTTGCTTTCCTTTCCCCACAATCCCTGGCAAACCAGACCACCGCTTCCACCAATCCCAAGCTGGGTTGCTGAGGCGAGGTGTTTAAATGAATAGCTTAATTCTCCAAAATTAAGGTTTAAGAATAAGATCCCTCTCTCTGACCAAAGCGAGTGTTGCTAAGGAGCCGCACCAGGACTTGATCTATTTGCAAGGAATCCCATGGAAAGCCAATGTGTCTACGGAAGAGGTCTCTGTTGGGTGGCAAACAGAAGATGAATACAGCCAGCGAGATGCTGAGTCTTTGCTGCCCTCCAGTGTGCTTGACTGTAGGGACGCACCAGCCATTCATATCATTCATTTGCATCAACCAGGACGTTTTGTTCAGCTATACTCAAGCTGTTCCTTGTTTGTTTTGTCACCCGCAGCTCCATGGAGCCGTACAAGCTTTGTCGCAAAAGAGGGCACTCAAGCAATTATGTCGACTTGCTTGGGTCATCTCTGTGTTTTACAGCTCAACCAGGACATTGACAGGAGCATCAGCCAGCAAACCTCATATTATCCTCTGGGGTCGCATTGCCTTAATAGGTTCTTTGCAGAGAAGGAAAACCCCTGTTGGTGATCCAAACTTGACTACATTGAAGTCTCCCACCCAGATCGCTATCCTCACATCTGCGCAAAGCATCCAAGCCTAGGCTGTGTCCTGCTAGAGTCCCATGGTTGCTGCAGAGGACATGAAATCTTGAGCTGCCCAGACCAGGTGCCCTCGGCATGAATACTGACATCCCCCCAAACCAATGGCCTGGATAACTCCAAGATCACACATAGGACCACCTTGGTCAGCTCAAGTCGGAAAACTGATGGTTCACAGTGTGGGTGGAGTAACAGCAGAATCTCCTATGTGTCCCCTGGCACAATACAGGCTAGTGATCAGGTGGGCAGAAAGCCCGGAGAGAAAAAGAAAGGCTCACAGCAAGCCTCCTCCCCAGCTCTCTGCCCTGATACTGCCCTAGCTGGGAGAGACGGACTCCTTGTTTGCCCAGCCAGGTCCTGGTTGTGCATGTCAGAGCAGCTGCCCCATCTACCATTAAATTATAATGAATCCTGCTTTAGAAAAACACATATGCATTACACAAAATATCAAAGGTAAAAGTCAGAGCTACATAGACCAGCAGCAGGACATCTGTGGTGCCAGACCCTATTTCCTATTTTAGATGGCAAGTTCTCTAGATCTGAGACTTGCTCTCTTGTCCTCTTTACACAGGCAGCCATCAAGGCAGCCATAAGTCCACCTAGCTTAGTTCTGTCTGCAGGCACTGGCAGTGGGTATCAGTGGTTTCAGACAGGATTCTTCCCCAGTCCTACCTAGAGATGCCAGGGATTCAAGGCATCTAGAATCCAAGCAACATCTGCACTGGCAAAAACTGCACTGGAGATGGTTGGGAGGGAACGGGTGAGAGAACTTCCATACGATGGTACTTTAGTTCTTTCTGTGAGGCCTCAGAATTGAGCTGCTCATCCTAATCAAGTGTTGCTACTCACCAAGGATAGTGCATATTGAGGATGACAGAAGTGTTATCATCCATAAAGCCTCCACAGTGTTCCTGCCAAGACAGTTCTACTGGTAAGGTGGGCTTTCTTACCTTCAATCACCAGTTTAGCCTTTTACTTGAAATCAGTGCAGCTAATACCTTGGCAGCATATTAGTTCTCTTATAATACAGCAGGTGTTGCAGTGCGATCACATTACCTGGTAACTGTTAATGTCAAAGATGCATTGCATTCTATAGCAAAAAGTTTAATGAGAATTAGAATCCAAAATGGTGTTTGGAAAAGAACTTGGGAAAATGGCAGGAGCCCCTCCTTAAGATACAAGGGGGAGAGGAGGGTAGGCTCCCACCAAAATTAATTTAGCTAGGAAAATCTTCCAGACAACAGCTCCCACCACCACAGCTGCAGTACCCATGTGTGTGATGCACAGAGACCATGAAGAAGAATATTAATTCTTTTATAATACAGTAGGTGTTGCAATGCAATCACATTATCTAGCATCTGCTAATGCCAAAAAGCATTACAATTTTGAGCAAATTTGAGAAGCAAAGTTGGACAGAAAAGAAAGGGGAAATGCCAAGTAACAAAGAAAAAAGAAAATCACTCAGCAAAATCTATTTTAAAGAAGCCCATTTAGAACACTTCTCACTGTGGTGATAAGCAGTGGTCAGAGGTTTATCTGTCGGTGAAACAACCAAAGTGCTTTTTAAAGCATGAAGCTGGGTTCTGTGAAGGTACACAAATCAGAGAAGCTAGAAAAGAATCAATTGCAGTAAACAGAATGTTCCATAGTCAAATCCAAACCCCATTTAAGCAGGGTTGAAAAGGAACTTTGTTGCATCCTAAGAATCCTGAACACAGCAATGTAGAATTCAGAGTCACTCTTTCATCTACCCTTGGAGTTGCTGGCATACGATGGTGCTTCTAGAGCATGGCTTGGAGCCCTACATCTAGCTCACATTTGATTTCTTTTCTAATCAGTTTTATTATACTCAACTCCAGGCACATTGGAAGTGCTACAGAATGAGGCATGTCAACAGCAATTTCGACAATCAAAACTGATAGGGGTGGGATGTATGTAGGGTTTGAGTTCAACATATTACATGGTTGGATGCACTGGGAACTGTTGTGTTATGGATGATCCTTGCTCGGGGTATGTTCCAGTGTCATTCTCAAAAGGTCTGGAGGGAATCTGATTTAAAAATGCACATCAGTGGGTTTAACCACCAACAGATTAAAATAATTTACTTACCTCTGATAAGATGTGAGATCAATATTGGTTGAATGTTACATGAACTTCAAAGGGTTCCCACCCCTCTGTGAAACTGCTGAATTGCAGCTTAGCAGGCAGTTCAATTCTATCACCTCTAGCTTTAATCAATGGCTTCTTTTTCAGATATGGGTGTTAAATGATTTAACAACACTAGGATGGTTGTTTGCTAATCAGTTACTCCTGTTGTGAATGGCTACTGTGCTTATTTTGTACAGACGATTAGCTGTACTTCATTTTGCATACCACCGTTTTACTTATTTTCTTCACTCTCCTACACCAATTATTTTTCTTAAACGTGCCCATTTAACACCAGAGTTAAGGCAATGACATGTTGGCTCAAGCTCCATCAAGTCACCAAGCCATAAGGCTTAGGGTGATGCTTTAACAGACGGGCCCTGTGATGATACTGCATAATGCTAAAAACTGTGCTCACGTATAACTTGTCTTCTGCACACGCACACTTTCAGGTCTATGTCCAAAGGGGGAAGATGGAGCACCTGGGACCAGCAAAGATACCCTACATTGTCCTGGCCATATATTATGAAGCAGACGAGCCTCCTTGTTTTGCTAGAGGAATCCTCAGCACAAGTTGCAACATTGCATAATATCATTATGTCTGTTAAGTTCATCAGCCTGAGTGTCCAGCTTTATGGAACTCATGCCAACATGGGGGAGTCTTAATTCTGGTCTTAAGGTAGCAGTTTTTTGACAATGTATTTCCCTGTTTTTGAAAATAAAAAAACAGGGAAAAGATATGTGTTAGTGTAACACTCTCCTAAAAGCCTCACAGAGAGCCCAGATATGGGCTAGTGTAGCGGCGTACAAATTGAAAGAATAAATATTAATAAATAAAATAAATAAAAGTACATGCATGAAAACACACACAGACATACAACACAAGCAGCAACAAGCCATTAATTGAGGATGTTCCTACATGGTCAAAAAGGCTTACTTGAGTAAGTCTGCATGGGATTCTAAGATACTTTGTCCCTTTCCCTCTCTAGCTCCTCATCACCAGTGATCAGCGATAGTGATTTCCTCAGCCTTCAAAATCAGCTAGTTCTTATCTCAGCTGATGATTCCCTGCTACCTTCCCTCATCATTTGACACTAATAGGAATAAAAGAATTCAAAACTGTACTGGACTGGTTTAAAAATTTGCACATTTGTTGAACTCATTGGGTAAATTACGAATGGCCAAGTTCCAATTTATGGGCACTACAGACACAATTTTCATAAGCAGTTAGAATTCAGAGCTTATAATTGTGGATCTGCTTTTTTGTTTTATTCTCTTTCTTCCATTTTGTTCTTGTGGCTCACCATAACTTAAAGGGCAAGCCCTTGTCCCTTTAATACCAGTCAGTGGAGGGCAACACTTCATGCATTTGATGAAGTCTTGTATATGAAAACATATGCCATTGTTAATCTTTGAGTCTTCAAAATAAGGGGAAGTATAGAAGAGAGCTACTAAACCAAGAAGGTGCTCTCCTATGAGGAAAGGTGGCTATGTGCAAAGACAGCAATGTCTGTAATTATATAGTTTGGGGAAAAGGTTAGGGTTAAGGAGAGACATGGGAGCAGTGTGCAAAAATTATGCATGGTGAAAGGAAACTGAATAGGGAAGCATTTTATCCCCATCCTACAATACTAAAATATGGGGTTATCCCATGTCAGTTGATTGGCAGGAGATTAAGTACAAGTAAAAGGAAGTGCCTCTTCCCTCAGTGTACAGTTAAACTAAAGAATTCACTTCCACAAAATTTAATGATGACCATCAAACTGAGTGCCTTTAAAAGTAGATTGGAAAATTAAGGGAGGAGAAAGTTATGAATGGTTACTAGTCCCGATGGCTATATACTGCCTCTAATATTAGAGGCAATATGTGGGGGCTGCCTATGGGCAGCAAGTTGACCAACATGTGACAAGAACACTAGAAGAAGTTTGCTCCAGCATGGCTCTTCTTAGAGCATTAAAGTGCTATAAGATCCTTCGTTGTTTTTACTGTAAGAAACCTGTCCCTCTCAAAATTGTTGGAACTGTTAGGTACTTCCATAAAAACAAAACATTGTCTATCGTTTGTACCTATTATTCTGGAAATTATTGTACCATGGGTAACAAAGCTGTGGCCCAAGAAAGTTGAAGTACTCCCATTTTTCACCTCCAGAAGTTGCATTCATGAAGATTCCAAAGACAACCAACTTCATGTGGAATTACAAGTTTTCTGTCATTTGAAAATTATGTGAACCTGTCATGCCCCCAGGCTCAGAGCCACTGGTTGCTGCCCTTCAGGGAGAACTGTGGACACCATACACCATTCAGAGTTCAGGATGCAGCCCTCTGCTCAAGCTTTCCCATAGACTGTGGATATGACCCTCAACCGCACTTCAGCAAGAACCTAAAAATAACCGCAGGCCCTCTGTGGGCTACTGCTCACATCCTGCAGGGTTAGGAGTCACTGGACGTTCTGGACCTGCCCTTTTAAAAAAAGGCTCTGTTATTTATAGTCCCTTGCTGGGACAACAGCTCTGCTTGTAAGGAGACAGTCCAGCCAGTATCTGGGCAGTACGCTGGGTGGAATCAGACGTCACACATGGGAACACTGAAGGGACCACATAACATGCAGCACTGTGCAACAGTAAATGCAACAGTCTGTGTTCCAACAATGCTTGAAAAAGCTGCCTGTCTCGTTAAACCACACTAAAAAGGTATAGATGCTTTTATAAGCCACACAACTGCAATTCATTAAGTACGTCCTACCAACCATCTAAACTAAAGCAAGAGCATCATGCTAGAAAATACACATGCTCCTGACAAGGGCTTCCGAGGGATAGAGCAGAAGTCTGTGCGTAACTAGCTGAGCTCTGGAATTTTGAAGATGGGTCTGAATGGGCTCCAAAGATAACAGCTGATTAATTAATGTCCATAAAGTACTTGGAAGATGTAAAGGCCTATAAAAATGCCAGAGATTATTGCTACTCTTTTACTGGCTAATGGCAGGTGAAAGAAATATTATGACCCAAAGATAATAAATCAAAGGCATACTAAACACTACAATATAGAGTGTAAGAATGCTGGCTTTCTTCCTAGCTATTGCTCCGCCATGTACACAATAATGCATCTAGAGCATACAGGAAGATCCCCAAGCCCACTGTTGCCCCCAGGCCTCACCACTCCTAAATGCAGAGATTCTAGCTCACAAGAGAAGGGTATGGAGCTGCATGTCCAGTTATGGGTCAAGTGATTTTGTCTTTTTGATTCACCCTTTTTCATAGAGAAAGAGAACCTACTAGACAATATGACATCTTGCTTGCTTGCCTGCTTGCTTTCTTATTCTCCCAGACATTACAAAATTGCTAAAGGCACTTCATTTCCCTTTCTAGGAAGAGTCAGGCCACCCCAATCAGAGCATTAAAAAATATCTGCAAGCTGCTAAAATGTAAGTCTGGGGCTTTACTTTAAAAAACAAAACCAGATCTAGGGAGATAAAACCGCTGCTTCCATAAATAACTGGCTTCTGTGATCCTTGAGATTTTTCTAAAGGAGTAATTCCATCTTTGAAAAGCCACATGCCAACATTTCCTCATAAATAGAATTTATTATTAAGGCAACATATGGGTCTATATTTTTTGAGATGCACTTGGCATCCAGCAATTCCCTTTGTGGCACTTATTGTACAACATACTTTACTTCTCTGAAGCTGAGCTGCCTGCCTCCGGGTAGCAAATTACTGCATAGAAATTATTTGGAGTCTCTGCCTGATCAGATTCTTGATGCAAGAAGAATCTGGGACACTTTTAAAGGCACTCATTGCTGCCTGCATCAACCCTTGTGAGCTGCGGTTGCAAGTTTGATTTTGTCAGGCATTTCACACTTATTTCCCATAATATCATCAACTCTCAAGACAGACAATCTGGTTTTCCTCTTGCTGTGTTTAATCTCACCATCTGTGAGGAACAAGTTTGAAAGTATGGCACCATCGTTAAACAAAATGTGCAGAACTCTGTATCAACAATATATAAGGATATGGCAGTAACACAAAGCTCTCACTGTTGCATGGACTGAGAAAGGGAAAAATGTGTTTTCTATTTTCCTGACAATGAAAAAAAACCCGACATGGTTTAGGAGTGTGGAACCTCCATCTCTTAAGTGAACTGTTTGTAATCCCTGTTTTAATAAAATAATGACATGTATACTTATAAGTATCATAACTATACCAATATAGTAGTATTGTAGGGGCTGGTGATATGTTTCTTCAATCTATAGTGTGTAAGTTTCAATTTAATTATAGTAAGTAATGTATATATTTGTAAGCCGTCCCGAGGCTTTTTGCGAAGGGGGCGGCACAAAAACGCTTTAAATAAATAAATAAATAAATAAAATATTTCCATTTTTCTCCAAACTTCCTGTTTTGCTCAGAAAAAGAATTTTGAAAAGATTTTTGTTAGCCCCTTTCAATAGCTACAAAATTTTAGGATGTTTCCCAATAAATGGATTCACTGCATTAAATTATACAAGAACATATTTTCCATCACAAAATCTTAAAATAGCAGAATTGGAAAGGGCCAAAGTGGCCACTGGATCCAACCCCCTGCTGTTGCAGGTCACCGATTTACACCATCCCACTCAGATGACTGATCAGTTTCATCACTGCTATGCTGCAGAGATTGGGTATACAGTAAGACTCTTGGTGAAGCTGTGTCAAATCCTTCTCTAGAAAACAGTGACAGCTATGAGTACATTACATATTCCAGGTGGCTGCCACCAGGGGTGGGGAAAGCCAGAGGCTTCTAGCTCAGTCAATCTGAAGTGCAGTAGTTTTGATTTCTAAATTTCTATGCAGTCTTGTTTATTTCTATTACATGTCATGTGCTTGGATATCTATGAAGCATGAAATTCAAGAAGACTCATATGTGGGCATCAAACCAGGCAAGCATTATTTTGTTTGGTTCTTCCTTTAAAGTTATACAAAGACCTCTGGGTGTTTGCAGCTCAGCCTTGCTTTTGTTCAGGAAGGTTCATCAACCAAGCTCAACTGGAAGCAATAAACGCTGAATAACTCATTATGTTCATCATGAATTTATGGCAGTGTTTAGTAACAACAGCAAAGCATCATTTCTCCTCTTGCAATCTGATTCAGAGTGGAAGACAAAGGGGCAAACAAATTGTTCCAAAAGCTATCCGTGTTGCAAAGCAATGAAAATATAGTTCCAAATGTGTTGTCTTTTGTACAACAGCCAGCAAGCAGTTACTGCTTAGAAATCCTGTTATCAGCTAGGTTCAGATCAGGTGGAAACCAAAGTGCGGAGGGAGAGGAGGGAATGAGGTCAAAGAGAAAAGGACCTCAAAGTAAAGAGAGAAAGTGGTCATAGAAATGGAATTGGCCCATGTAAGGATCTTTCCTCCTAAAGTCCAGATCATTTGCATAGACTGCTGCAGAGACAATATTAGAGCAGCCAAGCATCTCTCTGTAAACAAATCTTATCATGTGGAGTAACAATGAACACATGTAGAGGGAAGTAGCACTGTGGCAGCAGAATCAACCCCTGACATCTTGCCAGGCCTAGTTCCAGTGCTGCTGTGAGCACTACAGTTTCGGAATCAGAATCTGATGCAGAAAGGTCTGGCGCCCAGGGCAGTCATGAGATGCTTGGAAACTGAGAGCTGGAGTATGCCTGACTTCCCATCTGATTGCAGGTGGAAGAAGGGTGCTACTCCCTATCAGCCACAGCTACAAGATTGAACCATGAGTCAGAGATCCGATTTACAGTCTGAGAAATCTTGTGTGGGAATGGAGAATTAGGAAAAATCTGCAGGGGAAAAGGCCAGCAATGTGTGTGTGTGGGGGGGGGGGGCACCTAGTTGAGGCATCAAATGAACAGGGCATAATGTTATGCATCCTGCTAATAGGGTGGCTTTTATACAAATCTAATAACTAAATCAATGGGCAGCGCAGAGATGCTTTAAATACAGTGCTTGCTTATGCACCTGATTCCTGTTATGATAGACTACCAGAAGGGAGTTTTTAGTAGCCCCTCCCCTGCAGTCAAACTGATGCAGAAATATGGAGTTGTTGCTGAAATCAACTTCTTAAGTGCCAAAAATTTTTTTTTGCCTGACTTACTGTGCATCTCACAATTCTGTCTGCTTCAAACCATGTACCATTAAGACTCTATGCACTGCTGGACATTGGACTCTGTGAGCTTCCTCGCCTAGGGACCTTCCTTTGAAGGAAGCAACACACCTTTTACTTATGCCACCTGATTTATCAGGACAGTAACAGGAAATCATTGCCATGAACCCTGCAAGGCTGGTCTCTGCTACCTCATCTGCTGTAATAGAGTTTCACTGTTCTTAGTAAGCCGTGCCAACACGCCAGAAAGCTGGAACTAATACAGATTCATTAGAACAATTCAGCAGAGCCGTCACACATAGCTGCATGCTGAAAGGCTGTCTACATGTAACTGGGAATACTGGGGTTGGGGGTCCCTTGAGATAATAAATGTATCTGTATGTGTGTGTGTATGTGTGTGTGTATATATATAAATATATATTGGGGACCTACTGCCACAAGACCACTTACCTACTCTGTGAGAGTTTTTATCCCAATGTGAATATATGAAAAAGACTTGTTATCTGAACCCAGATGGGAAGTTAAACATGATCACTGGTTTTCTTATATGAATGATGTTAAAAATTCAGAGATAGAATATTCTCTCAGTCCTCTCAGTTGTGGGGTAGAAATAACCTCTGTCACTAGGTCTGAGGCAAAAGATGATCTTTTATTTTATACTAATAATTAGATAAACTATAATAGAGTTCATAAATTTTGTGAAAATTATAATTTTACCCTGATCCATAACACAGACAAACATGGGGTCACATCTGCATTTGCCTGGCAGCACAACACTTTGCCTTATCTGAAGGGGGAATCGTTCCAAGCAGCTCCCTCCATCGAACCTCAATAGCCTTTCATGAGAGACCAGCTGGAGTTGGCTCCCCCAACTCTCAGGAGCATCAGGATTGCCACAACAAAAGGCAGGGTTGTAGATTTGTGCCCCGGTGAAATTTCCATGGAATGACACCAGGAATGTTTTCTCACAACATCTGCAGCTTAAAAGTGATTCTATTGACGTGTGCTTGTTACAATTCATTTCTGAGTAATGGGGACTTTTCTTCCAATTGGAATTGCATGTGGAGGTTTTATTTATTAGATTTGAATCAAGCACATGGGGATCTTAAATTTTTTTAAATCAAGCTAAGAATCCTCCCACTACACTAAACCTCTCTAACATACACACACCCCTCTTAACAGGCCCTATCTTGTCTTTGGCCCATACTTCCTTAATCCATCTCCCACATAAACAATGTCTCTTTCATCAGAAATATATTCAACACTTGATATAAAACCACTAGCCCCAACAGATCCACTAACATTGCCCAGTAAAACAATGTAAACTCATCGACCAGTGGCTCAGTACCAGGACAGATGCTTCAGTGATTACTAGTGAAGACACCAAAGAGTATCAGAATTTAATCATCTAAACGTGTTATGAAAGGCTTTCCTAGCAGGATAATGAAAATAGACTGTTTATGCTGAAATACTCAAAAGCCAACATTCTCATTAGCACAAGAGTTTAAAAAAATCATTTTAGGAATAATACACAATCATGAAAAGATCGCTATTATTAGCATTCACTGTCAACACAAAGTGGGTTTATTTCATGGGAGTGTCCTTTGAGGGGGAAGAGAATTCAGGCAAAAAAAGTGCTTCCTGTTGAAATGTTTTCATTCGTGATTAAATTGGGCAACTTAAATGAATGCTGGGCGGTGAATTGGGCAGTCAATGTTCCCACTGTCAGCTGACAAGTCTTAAATGTTACGTAACCAGGGAAGCGACTCAGGAATGAAACATGACTTGTAGAATCCACAGGGGCTCTGTGGTCAGGGCCAGATTTGCCATGCAACAGGATGCAGTCAACTGCTTCAGGTGGCACCATGAGGGGGTATAGATGAAATCAGATGAACTGACATATGACTGGTAATGCAAGATTTTTTAAAGTGTTGATTCTAGCAGGGTGTTACCATGAGTTCTGCTGTAATTTTTAATTCATTGTTTAATGAAGGATGTCTTCTTAGAAATTTTGCCTTTCACGGGTTTGTTCTGTATATCTGTTCAATATTGTTAAAAATGTACAGTTTCTAACAACAATAACCACCTGATTCACACAACACAAAACCTGCTGTGCATAACCAGCCTTGGTGGGTTATTGTGTTGTCCAAACCCAGCACAGGTTCTGCCAGGTGGCTACTTTTTCATCGATCAGGTCACTTTGAGAGTCCACACCTTGTTTATGGTTGTTCTTGCACACATTAGGTTGTTGGGAACAGATGCAGAGCCATTTGGCAGGAGCAGCAGACCCTCCTGCCACTCCCTTTTGTGATCTTGCCAGCGACCGGCCTTCCACAGACGCTGAAATGGCATTTTGGAAAGACAGTCATTTGTTCCTTGGCTTCTTTTTCATTTCTCAGTGCCTCAAAAATACACAAGAGTGCATAGTAAAATTCTTATAACTGTGTGTGTGATAGATTGTTTTTGCAAGTGCACACTTACAGCTATTCCATATGTACAGTTGTTGCTGGTCATCTTTCTTGTCTGGTTCAGCTGTCAAAGAGAGGAGACTGCTTATGTGCAAATTTCTGCACAGGAGGAAGGTGGAGGAGAACAAGTCATATTACTGTGGGCTGTTCAGTGACTTACTGGTTTCTTCACTGTGGCTTGTTCATATGGTGGCTTAGCATGAAGTGCAAAGTCATGCAACCTCTGAAGCTACAGGTTAAGATGTTGCTTTTTATTTTACTGCAAACAATTGGAAATTCTTTTAATACTATGCAGCAAGAGAATATATTGCAATTGTTTGTGTTCAAGTGCATTTTTATTTTTCTATTCTGTATTCAGTGATGTTAATTAGTGCCCATGAGGGAGGACATGTTGAGCCTATAAATCTTCTGGATGTGGAGTTCCTCTTGCCTTTTCCTAAAAGTCTTGTGTTCGCACTATTATGTGTTGTAGGCATGCACAAACTGGCCCTCAGGTGTCTTGGCATGCAGCTCCCCATCTGCCATAGTCAGCATAGTCAATTATGAGGATTTCTGGGGGTCTAGAACAAAACATCTGGAGGGGTACAAGTTGCCCATCTGTGATCCACAGCTATAGAAGAACTGACACATTTTGGCTTACCTAACCATTATAGCTAGTTATCGGAGCTTCCCTTGTCTTTCTTCTCCACCAGTGATCCATAATATTCAGGAAAAAGGTATAAGCTTTTCACCCCATACAGCCTGGGATGTGGCTTCAAAGACACTTGTCTCCCAGCCTTATTCTATCTTATCTTATCTTATCTTATCTCCAAGTCCTTTGGAAGGAGAGAGACATTCACTCACCTCAGGCTGTGCTGAGATACTTTCAGAAGTGATGAGGATGAAGATCTCTTGTCACCTCTAGCTGCCTGACAGCCCAACATGAGTGAACTGCCAGTCCTTTGGGAGGATGTAGGAGGAAAACCATCACCTCCTCACCCTGGAAGCACCCAGCATCTCTTGCCACTCCCAAGTCCAGAGCAATTGCTTCTCTATAAGAAGCCATTACAAAGCTACCCAATAATATATTTGGTATTACATTTCATTCCAATTACAGGCCAAGGTGATTTCTGTAGCCCCTTCACCCCAAGCTGGACAATATCACCAGACACACTCTCTGAGCGTGTTGCTGCTGCTCAAGTTCGCACAGAGAGAGACAGACACAAGCACAGTCACTCTTTAATCTCTCAGTGTTTTCACCATCACATGGTTGAGCTTACATAAACCACGTTCTAGTCATTTCAGATAAAGTCGTTCTCTTCTCGACCAGCACTGTTTCAAAGTACTTATTCTTTTGCCCCTGTTGTTCCAGCGATCTGAACTTTTATCTCTACAAACAAAATGAAAGAACTTCGAAAATAGTAACTCTGATAGCCCAACTTGTCTAAGATTCCCTGCACTAAATATGCTTACTTGGCTGGCAGTTTCTTCACTGGAATTCGTTTCCCGTGAGTATGAATGCAAGGTTTGTTTTTAAAATCTAATATTGATATATAGCTGCTATACAATATACCAAAATTTAGCTTTTTAAGTTATTGTAATTTGTATATGTGTTTTAAATTTGGTTTTAAATTTTGTATGGCAACCTCTTTGATGTTTTATAATGTGGTGTATTTTATACAGTTTTTTTAATGTGTTGGTGTAAACTGCCAGAGAGCTTTGGCTATTGGGAAGTATGGAAATGAAATAAATAAATTTGCCACAATATCAGTGAATGGTAAATACTCTGAGCAACAGTGATGTTGTGATACATAAGGCAGGCACAATCTGAGAAGTATTATTCCATAGAGCAGTCATGCCCAAAACAGATCATAAAAGTCTATTTAATATGTCTCATTCAGTTTCAAGTGAAATGCTCTCAAGTCCTAACATAATGCAGTATCTAGCACCTCAGATCTTTATAGTATACAACATTGTGAGCCACAACAGACCTTACTTGACATGTATGTCAAGCAGTCTTCTTTTTTAGAGTAGGCACAGGAGGCCCAATTCAGACCTTAAAAGTCCCCATGCCCCAATATGCTAAGGTTCTAATCCAGATCAGAGGCTCTGCACCTCCCATACTGTAAAAAAAAGAAGGCATTTTTATTTTATTGCATTAATTTGTTGTAAAACATTCCGAGATGTCTGTGATGGGACGGTATAGAAAAGTTTTAAATAAATAAAATAAATAAATAGCTGCTGCCAGGCTATAATAACTGGCCCTGAGATAAGGAGAGGTAATTTGGCCCCTTGCCCATGCTGGCAGTTGAAATTAAGCATGCTTGGTGTGTGAGAGGATGGGAGAGAGACAACAAAGGCATGTGAGGGGCAGGAGGGCAGCCTCATCTTTAAAGGGGAATGAACCGGATATGGAGAAAGGAGGAGAGAAGATGAAGGAATGGCAGGATAGAGAAAGACTACAATGAGAAGCCCTAGAGAAGGAGGTGAGGAAATTTGAAGGATGCTGGAATGGATGGTCCCCCATCTTACCCGATGATGTGCAAGGGCTCTAGGTCAAAGAATGAAGCCTGTCTGAGCCCTTGCCTCAGTGAGAGTGTAGCATACTCCGAGGGGTCTGGACCTTGTGGAAAGGCCCAGATATACCCTATACTTGGTGACAAAACCTCTAGAGGTCCTGTAACTCACCATTTGGGAATGTCTGTATCAGGAAACAGAACTGCTTCACAGAGCTGCCTGTTACCCAATCCACAAAAGAGTTGAGTGATCTCATGGCTTTCCCTTATCTTTTATAAGTCTTATACTTCAGGTTCTGTATCGCCTGAAGTGCCTGATCCTATCTAATCTTGGAAGCTAAGCAGGGTTGGGCTTGATTGAAATCTGGATGGTGATTTAAAATGTTGTGAACCACCCAGACAGCTTCCCGTATAGAAATGTAACATGACAATAGTGGTGGTGGTGGTGGTGATGGTGGTACTAGTAATGTCATACATCTTTCCTTCCAGCACATTCCCACATATCTTAAACTTTGGAGGGAAAAATTATCATTCAGTTCTGAAGGTCTATTTTCCCCTTCCGCAAATTAAAATCCTTTTAAAAAATCTGGCATTCAAAACATAATTAAACATTATAAGAACACAGAAAGGAAAGCATACCTGATCACAGAAAAAAAATCATTTTCACCAAGAAAGTAAATGTCTGTTTTGGACAATATTCACTTTCTGTGAAGTGGGAAATCATCTCATTTATTCAGTTATTCCCTGGTGCCACATAACTGAGGAGGTTCATATAATTACTTTCTTTTGTGTTGTTAATTATTTACAGCTTCTGTATCAGAAGTGCAGAACCTCAGGCATGGGGGCTAAATCTGGGTCTCCCAAAATCTTTGTCCAACCCAACCTCTTTTCCCAAACCCCTTTTCACCAGACTGATTGTTTGGTGGTTTCCTGAACTTTCTGCATTCTGAAAGGTGGGAATGCCTCTTTTCAGGCTTAATTATTGGCAGCAAGAGCTTTCAACAAAAAGATGCTGGCATTAAAAAATGCCACTGCCCCTTTTGCTTTCAACTCTGGAACAAAGCCTCTCAAGAGCATATCCAAAATGGAATTTAGTCCTCAGGCTAAAAGAGGTTCAGCACGCCAGTTCCCCATAATCTAAGACTCAATGTTGTCAGGTTGTGTTGTCAGACTTGAGTAGCTGCTTGAGTAGAAATGCATCCATTTTACCATTCAGCCTTGGCTCTGTGGTTTAAAGTAAACACCAATCTCTCGCTTTCTTTATGCCCATTCATTTATCTGACCAATCACCCAGGAAGCAGAAAGGAAGAGACAAGGTAATTAAGGGTATGCATGCTAAGCTGAAAGTTAGCAAGACTTCCTTCAGAGTAAACATGCACAGAATTGCACGGTAAGGATTATATCTAATTTGGTCTGTTTCATCAGGGAATGGAAACTGCTGAAAGAATGAATCTCCACATCACCCCATTACAGTCTGTAAATCAAGGATCTGGAGTTACACAGGTGGAATGAGAGCAAGATCTCCTGTTGTTTGAGTGGACGTCTACTTGCACGATGTTAGATTCGTCTGTCTACAAATGCATAAACTACAGTAGTAAAGTACTGACTGCCCTTTTGTGGTCAGGGATTCTATAAATTCAAGCAGCATACTGTCAGCAGCAAGCAATAAATTGAACTCTTGACCAAATAACAACAGAGACCAGGCCCAGCATCAGCTGTTGGCATGTCTCAACAGCTGCTGAGGGCCCCAGGTTCAGAAGGATCCCTTCTGCTCCAGCTGTCACTGTCATCCTCCTTTCATTCCTGGCCAACTCTGCTGATGAAATGAAGCACCATGGCCAAGTCCGCAGGCTCTGCAGTGCCCCATTTTAAAAGAAAAAAATGTTTATCATTCGAGTGGCATTGCTCTAACCAATAAGACACGGCTGGGGTGTGTGTGGGGGTGTTAAACAGCCAATGAGGACACAAAGTGGTCTTTACATCATTGCTGTGCTCTCATTCATCTTCCATGAATGCAGTATCTTACTGGTTCAGAAGTTTGCCACTCAAAAGAGAAATAAAAGAAATACGCTTTTAAAAGTACATGCAACACGGACCTGAAGGCTTGACGGGAGGAAAAACTAGAGCCACCACTGCCAACCCCTTGGCTTAAAAAAAAGGTGGAGTAATGGATGGAAGAAGGGAGGGAAGGAGGGAAGACAGGTCGGCAGCTGGGGATTTTGGTGATGCCTTTGTCCAGGCAGTTTGCCAGCAGTCCTTTCATGAGCGGGGGAATGGTGAGCAGGGGACAGATGGGAAGCTTTAGCAATGAGGGACAGAGTGGGAGTAGAGGCCCATCAGCAGCACTATGCCAAAGGCCCAGTGGAGTCTGGCACTAGCCCTGCCGGAGTTGGCCAACTTATGATAGTTAAGGTGCAGCTGGGACACAGGGCAGGAGTGGTGGTCAGGCAAAAGCAAGTGGCCTGCTGCGTGCAAAAAGGAGGAAGCCCAGCAAGCAGACTGGGTGGCGGCGGCTGGTGATGCCCCTAGCAGGCTGCTTTAAAAAGCAGGCCAGTTGCTCTCTTGCTGCAGAAAGTGCCTCAGGGTAGGGCACCTGGTAGAGCGCTCCAGAACACCTCTTGGAAGAGGAAGGTAAACAGCAGCAGGCCCTCCTGGCAGAGGTGAGAGTGGGGAAACAGGGGCAGATCCCTGATTTTCCTACTCCACTCCCTGTTGAGGATGCATCACCTTAGAATCATAAAATCATGGAATAGTGGAAGGGGCCAAGAAGACCATCAGGTCCAACCACCACCACCCTGCCACATGCAGGATTGCAAGTTAAACCATTTCTCTCAGATGGCTGTCCAGCTGTTTGTAACTGCCCATTCAAGAGCAATTCACCTCCAAATACTTTGTATTACCACAGGGATAGGTCACAGTAATATAACATTGCTTTAAAAAAAGCTATTCACCACCCCCACAAGCTAGGGTGAAGCTTGCAGCCAAGCTCAGAGGGAAGAAGAAAATCTGTGGGATTGACAGATGATGTCATCATTCCTACTAATAAAAAAAAGTCCTGGTTCTTTGACCCTGTGAGTCCTGGCTCCATTACAGCATTACTTGCACCCCAAGATTTTGCTAATTAATTATGCTGCAGATTTCCTGTAAGAGATTTGATATTTAGAAACACGAAGCAAGAAAACATGACACTTCATCTTGGAACAGTGAGTAAGAAGTCCTCAGATGGCCTTTAAAATATTATTGTACGTGTTTTTTGAGGTAAGCAAGTGAATCTACAGGAACACTGCATATACCTAGGGGGGGAAGCATTAAGAACCATGAAGGGAAAAAAATCCAAGAGCTGCTTAGTATGGAAAAAAATGCAGGAGTTGGAAGAGCAAAAGAGATATTTTTAATTCCGTCACTCAGACAACAGATACTGGTATGGTAGGTAGGGAAAGAAATGTGAAAAAAAAAATCTCAAAACCATGAGGGTATGACAAAAGGGAGTAAGGATCTTATTTGTTAAAAGATTTAAGATTGTACAATGTTCTTCTGTGTTTAAAAAAGTCCAGAGATAGCGACTATTTAAATACATAAAAGAAGTCCATACAGTTGCTCACACACCCCTGCTTTTGTTATGTTCATTTAACTTTTCATCAGTTCAAGTTTCAAATGAACAGAAATTTGTATGCCACTTTTTAAAGCTTTCCCAAGGTAGTTCACAGAAAGTAGTTGACAGAAAGTTTTCCAAGGTCATTTTTAATAACCAAAAATACAATATTAATAACTAAAATACTAAATATTAATGAAAATTTAAAAAACAAAAAGCAGCACAAAATACATGGGTTTCAGCCATAATTTATTCAGCAATAAAGCCAATGTAGAATCAATAACAGCACAATTTCAAACAGATGAAAAAGAGCAGTATGAAATTAAAAGCAGCCCAACTTCTGTATCCAAAGTCAGATTAAAATTATTAAAATGTCTTTATGGGACTGCCTTCATTTCTCCTGACCTTCTCAAGCACAGAATGACCCACTGAGCTGGTGCTCTTTCTTTTCTGCTATTATTATACTGATTATCATTATTACTGTTATTAGTATCATCACTTATGTACTAACACCAACTTCTTTTGTGTCTGGAAGAGACATTTTTCCAGGAAGCATGTTGTTCTCAGCAATAACACAGGTATACCTACTATAGCAGAAAGCTGCTCAGATCAGACTCGCTTCCCAATACTTATGCCTCCACAAACCACAGCCAATGCATTGTATATTCTAGCCTGCCAGGTGCGAAGAAGCTTTTTGCGGGTGGGAACTGTCAGATTCCCTAGCTTCAGCTCCCCAGACTAGCACTCCCACAGCATTCATGGGGGACTTGTCAGGAATCAAGCCCCAAGTGCTATGCAAACAGTGCAAGCCTGGAGTTGCACCAGGCAGGGAAAAAGGTTTGTCACTGGGAAATGCTGCCTGGCACAACCACTTGCAGTGCCCCTCTTCTGCATACTGCGGCTCTTCTTTGGGCAGCTGTACCTGATGGGAAGGCTGAGCAACTGGGGGTCTACAAGCCTTTGTGTACTTTCTCTTGGCTCAGCTCACTTTACAGGACTGGGCCCAAGCAGGACAGGAAGTCCACGGATGCTAGGGGGACAGATTCTGAATGGGTTTGTCTGAACCCTGCTTCCAGGTGCCTAGCAATGACCTCCTGCCTTATTACATACATATTTGGCAGCTCTCAGTTTGGTGGTTTGCTCTGAATAATACTATATATTACAGAAGCTAGCAAAATGTTGTTAGGTAATTATTATATACTGGAGGAGGATAAGATGGAGGAGGAGACGTAAGCTGCCTTCAGCCCTTTATAGGAAAAAGGCAGGATATAAATCAATCAATCAATAAATAAAATATACTTGTGTTTTTTAAAAAGCAAGGGATTAGATGATGTAAAATTAAAATTCAAGGATGGCAACATTCTTGTATTATTGTTTACTTCAAGAGGGATGTGTGCATGTTTTGTTTTTATAAACGTGCTCTGCAGCCATTAAGACTCCCAGAGAAGCTTGCAAATGATTGGTTAAAAAAGGCAGTCCCAGCCTAGATGCTTACAATCTAAAAGACCCAACCTACAAGGAAAGAAAGAGCAGGAGGGGAAAGAACTAGGTTTTTCAAGCAGGGCCTGTAGAATGGGCCTGCGTCCTTCTCTCATCTCTATGTTACAGCCAACTGGAATGGCTACCTCTTCGAGGATGTTTATTGTGCCTCAAATACAGAAAGCAGCTTCATTCTGCTTTGCTGTCCATCACTGCACAACAAGCAACATTTAAGAGAACACAAGCTCCACTTTCTGATTTCAGGTTAAGCATCTCTGTTAACAAGAAATGTCTTTAAAATCGACTGCTTTTTAATAGGACCATCACTGAAAAACAATAAACATGGGACCACATGATGCCATCTTTATAGAGCCACTCTTCAGAGAGACAGGCATTTTAATGAGTCACTAAATTTCTAGGTAAGACAAATACTTAATGAAACAGATATATTTAGAAGGAACTTTGTCTTTTTCCCATTAAGATGAAATGAGTTTCCAAACCATTTTCTGAAACATAGCATTAACAGTTGGAAGCAAATGCGACAAAAGACTAAAGGCCCCTGCGTCTTCGGTCCTTATTGTGGTAGGAGTGGAAAACTCTCTGCAATATGATGGGATCGGTCTCTTGCCACCCACAGTCTCTTTGCAGGTAGCCTGTAAGAGTGCCAAGAACCCAGGTGTGGTAGGAAGCTCCTGGATGCTGAGGTTTCTCTTTGTTCCTATGATGTGACTTGATACGGCTGACCAAGGAACGAGGCTGATGCCAGCCAATAAGAGAGCTTTACAAAAGCAAGTGCAGAATGGCTGATGTTCTCCTGCTGCTCTGGCAGGAGCCAGCTTCCTGCTGTGGATGAGGGTGTGAACAAACATCTGCATGAGAAACTGAGACAAGCCCTAGCAGGGGGACAAACCCACCACCAGAGTGAGGTTGCCCACAAAGTCTTTTTAGAAGCAAGTTTCTGCCTTGGCTCCTAACAGAGCACAAGCAGCTCGAGCGCTACTGCTGTGGTGGATGACTAGAGGCCCTTCTGAAGTTTTACCCTACAGTTCCCATTATCTCTTACCATTGGTTATGCTAGCTAGGGCTATAGTGTGGTGTAGTGGTTAAAAGTGCAGGACTGGGGCTCAGGCAATCTGAGTTCTAGTCTCCAACTCAGCCATGTAGCTCACTGGGTGACTCTGGGCACTCACGGACTCTCAGCCCAACCTACCTCACAAGGTTGTTGTTGAGAGGATAAGATTGAGAGGAAGAGAATTATGTAAGCTGCCTTGAGTTCCTTGAAAGGAAAAAAGGCAGGATATAAATATAATACACACATAGATACCTGGGCAGTTAGAGGTTGCCTACCGCTGCCTAACTGAAGTTATCACTGGAATGGCAGCATCACCGTTATGAAAAGGGGCATAGAAGACACCAGTGTTTAGTGATCTGAGCTGATATTTTCATTAACTGAAGACACAAATATGCATGAATCATTCTCCAGAGGCAATACATTAGAGCCAGCAACTGTAACATGACGCTAAATGAAAAAAGGAAGGCG